CCCAAGGCTTCAGATACTCCGTGAACGTTGCAGGAGGTTGGGGCCCACAAAACATGGGGGAGGAGAGCAAATACAGAACTCTGTAGCACACCTCCAAACTGCCATTGGGACTCCCAGCAGCCCTTCTCAGGCAGGTGGGTCTGTCWGTGCAGTGGGTGACACTGACAGCATTATGAGTACCCATGATGGCACAATGGGGACCCTTGGTGAGCTCTGGCAGATGAGATGCCAAGTCCTCTCCTTCCTTTYCCCCTGCCAAAAAASCCATGCTGGAATCGGGGCAGAAGCAGTTTGAGGGCATCCAGGGGTTTCCAGCAACAGCAATCAGCCCAGGGGTACAGTGCCACATACCAGAAGTGACACCATACTTATATGAGTCCTGTTTGTCCTTCAGTGGGGCCTTTCTGGCATGGCTTCTTGCTTTCTGGGAAGGGTGAGAGGAACCACAGGCCATGTTCCTGGGCCACGGAGACTCCCCCACTTTTCTGGGCAAATGATGTACTTGTACCACCTTGTGCAGGAAGAACTGTTGGAGCTGGCCACTGCAGCCCTTAAAACCTGAAGCTCCCTCTCTGAAATGTCCCAGCTGAGAGGTAGAAATACACCAACTTGACAAAAAGCTCTGAAAGCAGAGCMACCAGTAACTGGACTGCTGACCTGCTTCCTAGTGTAAAGGAGAGGACACTCACACTATCACAGAGAAGGAAACGGCCACTCACCCTGACCAGAGTGGCTCAGGACCTGCTTTACTCATATGTGCATGAGGAAATMGGTCTAAGGAGGCTTAAAAGGTGGCTTTGAGCTCACCAAATAGCAGACTGAATCCTCACCTCCTGAGAGGGAGGCTTTGGAACCTAAAAGGATTGTCTGGAGCAAAAAAATGAGCCTTGGGACTCTACAAAAGAGGCTTTGAACTTTCCAGATCAGACTTGGGGCCATCAAAATGACACAATGAGCCCTCTAAATAAGGCCTCAGAGGCTTCACATGAGCTTAAAAAGCATAAACCTTGGAATGTATAAATGTGGTTTTGTAGCATGAAAATGTCACTTTGGACCTTTAATTGACTATTTCATCTCCCAAGTGTAGGCTTTGGTAATTAAAGAGTGATRCTGTTTTCCATATTTTTGAGGATTGCATTATATAAATAAGGGTTCGCACTTGAAAAACTTGGTGTTGAATCTGAAGAATAATGCTTTGGACCTTGAAATTGTGGTTTGGCATCTAAACATTGAGTGGTTTTTTTTGTCACTGAGATTCAGGTTCCAACCCTAAGAATGAGGGAGTTTTTACTAAAGCATCTCTAAATCTATCACCCTTATGGTTTTAACTTTGTGGTTCATCACCCTTGGGGGTGATCGATCCTGGGGGGATGTTAACCCTGGGGTCCACCACCCTGTCTGGTTTTTATCATTGGGGCCCATTATTCCTTGGTCCCATCATCCTTGGAGTGATGAGCACTGGGCTCACCAGATCTGCAATGCTTTGCCCTTTAGACCCATCACATCTTGGGCTCACCCCTCAGGGGGTTGTTAACCCTAGGTGCTCATCCCGCTGGGGGCTGCTCTCTCTCACTTTGAGGGATCCTGTGGCTGTGGACCACACTAAAGTGACTGAGCAGCAGGGTTCAAAGGCAGTCCTGGGTGGCACTCAGAGGCAGGTGGCCGTGGGGTTGTATGCTCCTTCTCCACTCAGCACTGGCAAGCCCACCTTTAGAACACTGGGTCCAAGCCCTGGGTCCCAGTACAGGAGAGATGAAGAAGCTGTGAACCAGCTGATGAATGACCTCTGGGCACACCTGATGGCTGGGAGTCTRTTGCAGGGGCTGTGGAAGCCTGAGCTGCTCAGCTTGGAGCAGGTTTGGCTGCAGAGTGTCCCACCCAGGTGTGATTTCAACACTGGCAGAGGCAGGACAAGAGGTGCAGAGCACAAATCCAGACCCAGAGTGACTTTGAGATGATACTTTTTTTACTGTGGGGGTGACTGAAGTTCCTTGGGCAGGTTCTGGGGTCTSTAAATGGGGAGGACTAAAAGGCCAACTGGACACAGCTGTGGTGGTCTCCCTGGGGCTTGCCTTGGACCCCAACACACATTGAAGGRCCCTTCTTCACCCAAGGGTCTCCAAGGCTACCCTCAGGCCTGTTGACTCCCAAGCCCCTCCTGGCAACCCACAGGAGCTTTCCTTTGAGAGGGACAGTCAGTGATACCAGGGACAGAGCGGGGCTCATCGTCCCCCCCAGGCCAGCGCGTGCAGCTGGTGGGCAGCATCCCGCAGCCGCCTGCGGTGCTCCAGAYGGCAGTGCAGCCCTGGGGGGATGGACGTGAGCCCATGCTGCAGCCCCCAGCACCCAGCAGCAATGGTCCCTGTCGAGTCACTGTCCCCRCCATGCAGCACTGCCCTGGCACACAGGTCTTCCCAGCACCCACCAGCTGCCAGCAGGGCCTCCAAGGCCACCATGGGTGCGTCATGGCCACTACGCCCTGCCCATCCATCCAGTGCCCAGCCTAGATACTCTGTGTCCCGCTCAGCTGGGGAGGGGAGGGATGGAACCTGCGGCGGGCCACGACCATCCAGGAGCCCACGAGAGTCCAGGTACCTGCAGAGACATGGGGACGCTGAGGTCACTGGGGACACTGGTGTCACCAGACAATGGGGTAACCAGTGACACTGGGTCACTGGGCTGTGGCTGTCCTGCAGCCCCTGTGACCCCAGATACCTGTGGGTACACTGGGGACCATCAGGAAACCTGGGGGGCAGCATGGCAGTGGGCACAGTGGGGACACCAGTAACACCAAGAAAACCCCAGGAACCCCAGGGACACAAAGGTCACAGTCCCCAAGGATGGCACCTCTGGCAGGGACACAAGGGACACTGAGTGCAGCAGGGGCAGGATGGGCAATGCCAACCCGGTGGACTGGGCATCAGGGTCAGCAGTGACACCAGTGTGAYGTACTGCCAGGACTGGCAGAGAGCCTAGCTGTCTTCTCAGTATCCTTCCCAGCCCCTCCTTGTACCACCAGYGTCCCCCCAGAACCCTCACAGTGCCCCTCACCGGTGCCACGCCTCCCCAAAGAACGGCCAGGCAGCAGCATTGTCCTCCACGGCCACCTTGGTGCTCTCCACGTAGTCCCAGGCCAGGGGCAGCACCCGCAGCAGCTCAGCCCCCCAGCRCTCTGGGGGCTCCCCTCGAATCCCCAGTGCCCCAAAGAGGGCCACTGCCAGTGCTCCAAGGTACCCTGTGGGCACAGGGGCTTCAGCGGGGTTCTGGTATCCCCTTCTGCCCTCCCCCACCAGTCTGGCACTCACCAGTGGGGTGGTGGTGGGTCATGCGCCCGCTCTCGATGCTCACCCGGATCAGAGTCGGCAGCTCCCAGGCATGCGGGTACCTGCACTGGCATCAGACCAGTCCCCACTCCCCTAGTCCTGTGTTTCTGGCCTCATCCCCATTCCCACACCACCACCCTTGCCCTGCTGTCCTTGTCTCTGCTCTGCCCATTCTCCTAGCCCCATCACTTCCATGCCCCATTCTCAGCTGCTCTTTGACCTGTGTCCCTCTTTCTTGTTGTTGTCCCCACGTTCTTTGTGCTTGACCTCCCAGCTCCAGCACCACATGTCCCCAAGCCCTTGACCTTGTCCTCTCCAGCTCTACCAACCCCATGTCCCCACTGCACTGTGTCCCTGTTACCCGCACTCTGAAACCCTCATGTCCCTCTTACCCTACTCCCATCCCTTTGTGTCCTCATCCCTACAGCTCTGACACTCCCATTTCCCCAGCCCCAACATCCTCATGTCCCCACTCCCCCAGGTCTCCAACACCCCTTTATCCCCATCCCGTGTCCCCCATGTCCCTGTCCCTCCCTGTGTCCTCGTGTGGCATCCCTGTGTCCCACATCCACCCATTCTGACACCCCCACATCCCTGTCCCCACCCTGTCCCCATTCCCCCAGCTCTGATAACTACATCCCTGTCCCCACATGTCCTTCAGTGTCCCTGTCCCCACCTGAGGCCGATGGCCAGGCTGCGCATGGCTGCCCCGCAGCCAGTGCCGGAGGGGTTGAAGGGGATGCGGTAACCCTCGGGCTCCCCTGGTCGCAGCTGTGAGGTGCCTGGGAGGACAGGGGGGTATGAGATTACCTGAGCCCCGCTGCCTCTCCCCGAGATCCTTGGGCCCTGCTCACCTAGGATGCTGCTGGGTCCGGGCTTGCGTCCCTCCATGTCCCCCATGGCAGCCACATAGCGGTGGGCCAGCTCCTGCAGGAGGGGTTCCCCCTCCAGGCCTGTGCASGGGKGTGAAGACACAACTGGGTTACCCARACTGGCACGGAGGRGAAGGARGGAGGGTGGGAGAGGCYCCATGCAGCCCCCAAAAYTGAAGGGACCRCCYCCAAAAATGTAGGGAAAGGGAACACAGCCCCACAGATACCCCAAAACTGGAGGGGAAGCAGGGCAAGTTCTGTGGAGAAATGAGGAATCCTCCTGAGCACCCCAAATTGAGTGAGAAAGGGGTACCCTGCCAGGTTCCCAGGGAAGAAGAAATGTCTCCATTGCCAGCACACAATATGGGAGGAAAGTGCACATAAATGAGGGAAARAACATAGACACAGACAGACACACACACATTCCCCAGCCCACCCCCACCCAGAAGAAATAAGACACACATCCCCCCAAGCCTCACTGGAAACCCCTAAAAGGAGGATGAGAGGTGGAATTAAGATGCCCCAAAGCCCCCTCCAGAGCTGGACAAGGGCCTCCCAAAGCCCCTCCCAGTACCCTCCAGTTTGAGTCAGGGGTATAATGGGGACCTCTCCGATACTGCTGAGGGCTGTAAGGGATTACCAGCTGCACCCCAGACACCCACCATGCAGCCTGGGGATATATTGAGGACAGCCCCCCTTCAGTGCCAGCCTGGGGTACAATAGGGACCCCAACCCAGGGACCCCTCCCTTCYGTCACTGGGGTGTCATGGAGTGTCCCCACCTGTGGCCAGGCCCTCRGCGGTGGCGAGGTGCAGGACGGTGTCATCGCTGACAGGCCACTCCGGGGGCTCGAGGGTGATGGCTGCCAGCCCCCCCAGCTGGGCCAGCTCAGCGTGGATCTGGGGGCCGGAGGTGCAGTATTCCCAGCGGCCTGCACGGTACCCCAGCGCATCCCCCACCCCGCTCAGCACCATGGCCGCCTCGTAGGCTTCCACTGCGGGCACCCTGSGGGAACAGAGGGTTCAGGGAGCGCCAGCGGCAGCGGGACCCCAGGGACCCCAGCACACTCACGTCTCCTCCATGGTGGAGCAGCTGTGAATGCCTGTCAGGCTCAGGGCAYGGGGCCAGTGCTGGCCAGGGGCCCTTAAGGGGACCAGAACACCCCAGGGATGTGGGGTACAGGCTACTGCCCCCACAGTGAAGGGGAGAAGCAGGGAGGGACTCCAGGCACATCCTGGTGGGGGAGGCAGAGGGCAAGAGAGTGTTAGGAAAATTAATCCACAAGCACCAGAGGTTTATGTCCAAAAAGGAGACAGAGGAGTCCCGTAAATTTATTCATGAATAAAGGGAGAGGTCATGGGCATTTCCCATGGGGTCTCTCAAATTCATAGAGGACGCAGCCTCCTTTTATCCCAATTTCCCGGCTGCAGTTCCCTCTCTCTTTCCCCATTGGCTGAGGTACTTGAGAGGTTCAGGCTCCCCAAAACGCCTGATGAAAACCCCCCTTCTATCATACATTGCCCCCTTTCAATATCCATCTCTGTGTCTCTGCTCAGGTAGTCTATTAACATAGACTGGGGTAAGCCAATSAGTAGAATTCCTATGCAAATCCCTCCTATTGTTTCTTTCTATCTCCCAATATCAGCCTTATCTCACCGAGTCAGAGTCTGTTTGTAAAGACACTCCCTTCTCATTCCTTTCAAGAGGCTCCAGGGGGCCCCAAAGGACATCACGGGGGACTGGGGGGCTCTGAAGAGCAGCCAGAGCGGAATGGAGGGGAGATGGAAGTGGTCTGTACCCAAAGAGGGTTTGGGATAACCAGGTGGGCGTGGAGAAACCTGGAGGAGACTCTAAGGGGCCTGGGAAACATTCAAAGGGAAATGAGGGATACCCCAAAAGGGRCAGGGAGGCACCAAAAGGGGCACCCAGGCACATAAAGGGCCTGATGGAAATGCAAAAAGGACCCTCTGAGGGGGCCAGAGGCCTCCAAAGGATTTAGGGCACAGGGGACTGGGGTTCAGCAGCCCCAGAAGAGAGAAAAAGCATGGCCGAGGAATTATAGTTCTGCCAAATATTTCCTCATGTTTATTTTGCTATGATGGGGCAAAAACCCRGTCCTGAGCCTCTCCTTAATCTGTTCTGGCCTGGGTCCTGCACAAGCAGTTCAAAGTTCCATGTTTCTGAGTGGGGAAACACAGCTCAGGCCAGGTCCATGTCATAGCGAATCCTGCTCTCCAGCACCAAGGTTTYGTCTTGGTTTTGGGCCCAAATGATGGCAAATGAGGCACAAATCTTTGATCTGTTGGTAGAAATCTGGAAGGGGAATGGTTAGTAATAAAAAATGTGAATRATGGGTTTAAAATCCATTGTCATGCTGGGAAAATTTTTAAAAGCCAACACTTGGGAGGACAAAAAGTGATGTTTCAGAGGTTTTTTTGTCTGGACACACAGAAATGGAGGTGTCATCCTGCCATACTGAGAAGAGGGGGTTCAGGACCCAACAAAGGAAGCTCTGGAGCGTGTGGGTCAGGGACAGGGCACCCCCAAACCCCGTAGACCAGCACCAAGCCAGGGGGATGGGACCCCAAACACCATGAGATGGGGCTACAACACCCCCAAACTGCACAGGTTGGGGCTAGGGCTCCCAAAACCCCCCTGTCAGGGACTAAAGCCTCCTCTTTTGTATTCTGTCTGAAACTTGGTGGGCTCAAAGCTTATTTTAAGCTCCCAAAGACCTCTTTTTAGGGGCAAAGCCTTAATTTGTGGCAACAAAGCATCCTTTGAGGCCACAAAACTGAGCTTCAGGGTTCAAACTCTGCATTTTCAAAGTTCAATTTTTAGGGCTCCAAACCCTCCTTTAAAGACCCAAACCTTCTTTTGGAGGATCCAAAGCCCTCTTTTACCACTCAAAGCTTCCACTGGAGTGGCTAAACTGCTCTAGGCAGCACAGAAGCTTTACTTCTTGAGGCCAGAGAGGTTCACCTCCATTGCAKGGTCCACAAGGTCATTTCTAGCATCTCACCAATTATTTTTTTTTTATGCCTAAAGCCTCTGTTTTCAGGCCAAAATTCTAATTTTTGGCTCCCAGCCTCTCTTTTATTACCTGTTGCTTCTTTTAGTGCACAATTTCATCTGCTGGGTCCAAACACTCATGTGTCAGACAGAAATCCTGTTTAGGCTACAAAACTACGTTGAGATGCTTCTAAATCGCATGTTTTCTTCCCAAGGTCTTAGTTTTGGCTTCCTAATCAGCTCTTTTTAGGTTACAAAGTCTCATTTTTAGTGTCCAAAGAATCTGCTTCAGTTCACAAATTCTCTTTTTGTGAGTTCCAAKCAGGGTTTTTCCTCTCCAAAGCCTTCTTTTCAGGCAATTTGGCTCTTGTCCCAGTTTAAGAAAAAAAAAAAAAACAACCAAACCCCTGTTCTTTCTTGCTTGGTCACAGTCTACAGGAATTCAAGTGACACCTCAGACAGGGTTTGGTTCTGAAGGCAAGTTTACTGTTTGCATCTTAACCTCCAGCTTGATGATCATGAAATAATAGAATTCTGAATAATTGGTGAAACAAGGAGGGGCACCACCAAAACTTCCACACTGGAAGAGCAGACTTTGGCCTTTTCAAGAAGCTGATTTGGAAAGTTTCTTTGGGAARCAGCTCTTAAAAACAAAGGGGTMCAGTAAGGATGGACACTTCAAAAAAGTAATCTTGAGGGTGCAGAAGCAGGCTGTCCCTAYGTGCYRAAAGACAAGCYRTCAGGGAAGAMAACTGGCCTGGATAARCATGGAACTTCTAAAGGAACTAAGGGAGAAAAAGAGGATGTATCACCTTTGSAAARAGGGGCAGGCAWMTCAGGAAATGTTTAAGGATGTGGCTGCATCATATAGGAAAATAATTAGGGAGGCAAAAACCCAATTAGAAGCTAATGGGGCCACTTTTGTGAAGAATAATAACAAGCATTTTTATAAATACATTAATTGCAAAAGGAGGAGCAAGGACAACCTCCATTCATTATTAGGTGGGGAAGGGAATCCCATAAGTGAAGATGAGGAAAAGGCAGAGGTACTTAATACCCTCTTTGCCTCAGTTTTCATCAGTAAGACAGGTCGTGCTCAGGGCACTGACCTGAGCTGGTGGATGGGGTCAGGGTGCAAAATAACCCCCCTGTAATTCAGGAAGAAGCAGTTAGAGACCTGCTGAACCTCTCAGATGCACACAGGTCTATGGGACCGGCTGGGATCCATCCTAGGTGAGAAAGGAACTGGTAGATGAGCTTGCAAAGCCACTCTCCATTGTTCATCATCAGTCCTGGCTCACTGGGGCAGACCCAGATGACTGGAGGGGGTTGGCCAATGTGACATCCACCTACAAGAAGGGCCAGAAGGAACATCTGGGAAACTGCAGGCCTGTCAGCCTGACAYCAGTGCCAGTAAGATTATGGAACAGATCCTCTTGAGTGCCATCACATGGCATCTACAGGATGGCCAAGGGGTCAGACCCAGCCAACATGGATTTAGCAGGGGCAGGACCTGCCTGACCAACCTGATCTCCTTTTATGATCAGGTGACCTGCCTGGTGGACACAGRGAARGCTGTGGACATTGTCTACCTGGACTGTGGCAAAGCCTGTGAMACCACCTCACACAGCATCCTCCTGGAAAAGATGGCATGGACATTTTCACTCTTCACTGGGTCAAGAACTGGCCAGATGACTGGGCCTRGAGAGTAGTGGTGAATGGCACACATCCAGATGGCAGCCAGTAACCAGCRGTGTCCCCTAGGGAAYCAGTGTTGGGCCCTGTCCTGTTTAATATCTTTAYTGATGATCTGGATGAGGGGTTTAATTCCTCCATCAGTAAATTTACAGCTGACATCAAGTTGGGAGCGAGTGTCAATCTGCTGGAGGGCAGGAGGGCCCTGCAGAGGRACCTGGACAGGCTGGATAGATGGGCTRAATCTAGCAGTATGAGATTTAACAAGTCAGAAGTGACATTATTAAAATTCCCTARTCCTCCTGTCTGTTTATTGTTACTTAGGGAAAAATCTCTTACTTCAAGTACCTTTGCAATTGCAGAACAGGAAGAAAATATTTTAGGATACAGTATCTTTAAAGGAAGAGTTTAGCAGTGGTTATTAATGTTATTAATAACATTATGACAGATTAAGGTTTTCGTATTGCTGGTGATAGTATCCAGCAGCGATGTGAGGCACGGACTCCACATTGGTATGCAAAGATGTTTATTGCAAAAATCCAGGGTTTTTTAAACCGTTAGCTTGTTATGGGTTTACATTCCTGTGAAGCACAATGAAGTGTCTTAGCCAACCACCGTAAATCACGTTAGGAACATGTGATGGTTAGAACCAACCACAACATACCACAGTGTGAGCTCTCACTAGCTCTATTACTTGCTTTCCATGGTTAGAGGTTTTCCACCTCTAGTTTAGCTGAATCATTCCCAGAATCCTTCTCTGGTTAGCCAAATAGGAGAGAGCAAGAATTTTACAAGGGTAACAAGCCCCTTGTTTTATAAGGTTTTATTTATCCRCAGCAGTATCTGACTGYGAAACCATATTCAACWTGATATACTAAATCAAAGTAATATACAGACAAGTTGTAATCCATGACAAAAGTTGTCTTGAGAAAATCATTGAGTGTACATAGAATGTGGTTCTTATCCAATGGRCGCCTATGGGGAGAGACAGGTTCAGCCTGTTGATTGATCCCTAAATTCTCYCCATTCTTAACTCACTTCAACACTATTTCTTTACACTTAGGTGRAGCTTGAGTGACTYCAGTTGTACATCTTATTYGGTGAGGGGCAGTTGTACCTTGGGAGTGGATATCTCAGATTAGTGGATATCTCAGTATGAGATRTATGASTGGATATCTCAGTATAGACSTGAGATAACYTTGGGATGGGGAAGTGCATCAAACCAAGGGGACTGATTTTGCCACAGTTGCTGGTTCAACAACAGTTCATATTCCTTGACTTTCAGGTGCTGTGCATATGATCAGCTAGAAGTACCACTGAGTCCCCTCCCTGGCAGGGGTCTCCACTCCACTGCACCCTCTGTTTAATTCCCATT